TGATGATTATTATTTAGACAAAACATAGCCAGAGCCAAGTTGTTCAATTTATATAGTACATGTACAATTTGACGATTTAGATTATGATTTTGACCATTACAAGCTTAGCACCTAAGAAATTGTCATGGCCAATGAGGATTAAGCTTAAAACTACGGAATTGCAATGGTAACAGAGTACCTGATCGTGCTAGTATTGTATAAGATATTGGGTTGGTTCCAAAGTAGTCGATCGGTATCAAATAAGATGGAAAATGAGTCGTAATCGAAATAATTTACAGAAAGAAATCAAGCAGGATTCAAATAATGTACGAGCTATTTATTTGGAAGGTAAAAAGACGATATTCTAAATGTCTTGAAAATAGAGTTAAAGTAGTTTGGTCAAAGAAAAAAGATTTTTTTTAGTTTCCTTTTATAGCAGACTGACCTAAGACATTAAGCTACTATTTTGACAGTGAATGACTCGTGTAGATTGACTCAATCAAACACTAAATTCTTATCTAGAGTACGATTCAACTTAGAAAAAGCCACGGGTGTCATCAACTAGTCATCGTCTGCCTCACTTTAAAATATTCCTTCTCTGTTGCTCCAGATCGATATATCAGTGGCGTAGGCTCTTATTTAAATAAGAAATGAAGCAATTTCCCAACAAAAAACATTTATTGGATTAAAAAGTTAAATTTTAATGATTTAAACATTTGTATATTACCTAAATAACTAAACTAAAATAACATTACATATATTTTTCGACTTTAGACTTGCAAAACATTCGGTGGGAAGTAAATAAAAATAGCAACACAATTTTGTAATTTAGGATTTTTATTACAATTAAAATAATAGTTATTTATGCAACTAGTGCAAAAAGTGAAACTAGAGGAGTACATCCTAGTTCGATTGTTAATGAACTATTATACTCTGTTTTTAAACTAAGAGGAGCGATTTGAATTTAAGTTGGCAATTCTGTAGCCTTCTGATTGGTCAGATTACAGTCAGTTTCACACATTACTTTTTAGCATGAACATCAGCTAATAATGATATTGTTGACAGTTCTGACATTTTATAATTTGATATCTCATCCATTACTTAGTTTTTTACTTTATTTCGTAAATAATAGTTCTTCAGTAAGCAATTTTATTGAAAATCTACAATTATGGATCCTTCTACACTGAGTACTATTAAAGGTAGCAATTACAAGAAAGGGAAGACACCCTATTATTTTACATGCTGATTCTGAAGGTTTTGTAGAAAATGCATTATTGGTTTTTGTGAAGGTAAAAAGATGGGAGATTACCATGAAGAGATGAATTCCGAAGTATTTTAGAAAAAAATTATTTTAAAACTAAAAATTGATGAATTTCTAACCAAAATGATAAAAATGTAACTAAATATTTAAGCAAATTTTATTTATTAGAATAGAATAAAACTATTTACAAAATTGTTATAACATTTAAAACACCATCTACTACTTTAGGGATAATCTTAATTTGGCACAATGAGTTAACATTACTTTCACAAAAAATATTTTAAAAATACTTAAAATTAATACATAGGTATGTATGAATAGTTCACTTTAAAAAATATATGTTGACATGTAGTGTTATGAAAATGTTGGTTCCAGTTTTCAAAACAAATTCTGACTCATAGGCCTGTAAACTTTTGAATGCCTTTATTTGCCCTCTAGCGCATTAACCATGGGTTAACACTAAATAAGCCATAATATCCACATTACTCATAGAAGAGATACCCGTTACTGTGTGATCCACTTGTCATTCACTGATTAACTTTTACTTTTTATACCTATAACAAATTATCCTTAAAAATGTAAACATATCTTTATATTTTATACTAACCTGATTACATCTGGATATTCCATTAACAATTTTCTTAAATATTTAATATCCATTTTAAAAAGATCATAGTTATTCTCAAAAAGTCGATTTCAAAAGCAAGAAAAAACTATTTCTGACATCAATCAACAACTATATTGACTTTAATTTGACAGTGATATTTCGTTTTAGACACACATTTCAGATCACAATAATGTGAAATTTGCGACCGTTGTCTGGGACCAATAAAAAATTACTTCTATGACATTTATTCGTTTCTTAACCGCTCATTGGCCGTTCGCCGACTAAGGCCGATAAAGATAATTATTTCATAAATTTTGAACACGACTATATTTCGAAACTCGCTCTTAGTAACAAATCTAGTTACTTTTCCCTGTGTAAATGCGTCTCTTTAATTCGCTCCTCCTAGTTTAAAAACAGAGTATACTACTCTCGCTGTCTTCACTTTCTTCCGATGAACCCGTATTTTTGTTCGTAAGTAAAAGCTTGGCAACGCCGAAGTTTGGCTCACAAATAAGTGTTCCATGTTAACGCGATAGCTTCTGTTCGAATTATATTCTGGACCATGCGGCAGTCGTACAGCGTTGCCAAATTATTAAGCAATTATATCTCTATATTAGAAAAACGAAAAAATCGCCAAAACGCCACTGACGCTTAAATGGGATGGACCTGAAAGAGAGGCAAATTATTGCAGCCTTTGTCAGGCATGATGTGTGTGGCTTTTTCTTAGTTGAATCGTACTCTAAATCTCTCTGTCAGTTCAGATGGTGTAAATCTCTTGAGCCGTCTTGGTTTATCTGTCTATTTAAAATCTCTGTTGGCTAGAATATTGGGATGTACTAACACTCTTTGACGATAACTATCACTGAGTAATTACTTCTTTGACTGATGCTAGAGGGATGTCTAGTTGGAGAACCCTATTTGGAACATAATAGGGTATATTGACGATGCAACAGATAACCTCATTCTGAAATATTTGTAGGATTTCTAAATTGCTGTTGCAGTGCCCCAAATTTGGATTCCATAAATCCACACGGGTTTAAGATCTTGTTTTCCAATCATAACTGGGATTTGCGCCCTATAATCCAGTACATTTTGCTAAATATAATCTGTTTTTCAGGTGAGTCTTTTATTTAAAGATATTTTACGTTTTTGAGAAAGTTGGCAATTGTTGACTTTGACTGGAGAACATGTTTCTCTTCAAGTTATATGTGCAGATTTGGTTTCATTTGCCTTAATCCTAAATTTTTTGAACCATTTTTGTATTTTATCGAGGTTAGTCTGCAAATTGTTTGACGCTGTTTTGGAGTTAGTGCGAGGTGCCAGGATTGCTTTGTCATTTGCATAAGTTGCCACAAGAGTTTCTTTATGGTGCGTTTGATTTGATCATCGGAGATCTCCGAGCGCTTCAAAAGTGTTTGAATTGACACTCCGAGAGATCCCTAAAGTGTTTGTTTCGCTTTGGAGCGAGAACATAGAGCGAGCTCGATGTTCTCAGAGCAGAAAGGTCGATAAGAGGGAGAAATTTGTCTTTGTCTCTACCTATCTCTTTTTAATTAACTTACAAACAAATTTGAATCTCAAAATTAAAGACCAGACAAGAACTCAACAAATTACTTAGCCGCTTTTGTCTCATAGCTAAAATTATTCATCATAAAAAAACACAAAATGTGTGTTTGGAAAATACATTTTTTCTGTCCAGATCTAATCACCAGTAATCACAGTCATGGAGTAGGAGAGCGAAACGGGCATTTGTGGTAAATGCTGCATTTCAGGGCCATTACCCCTTATTATTAAAAGTTTTTCCATTTTCTTTACTTTTTGCTCACTATTTTAACATACAAACCAGAAACAAGAATCACAAAAAAGCGAGGTTATGTTTTTTACTCTGTTTTATTTGATTTGATTCAATGCTCTATTGTGACGTCATCACTTCTCGGTCTCCTCGACGCTCGCTCGATCGAGTTTCAAATCAAACGCCCCTTTAGTAGAAGGGATGTCTACAGTATAAACCAAGTACAGTACTGGACCTATTACCTTTATAGGATGAGGGTTGAAATATTAATTGTTTTGTTTTACAATGAAATGTCTGTTATCGAAGTAGTAGATTAAGATTTATTTTATAGTAAAGACCTCTATGCCATACTTTGTCAAATGGTTGAGAGATATCAAGGAACGCTGCTGACCAGTGTTTTTTTAGCTTCAAAGTCACAATTTATCTTGTTTACAAGTCTATGTATCTGTTCTACTCTACCGTGTTTTTTACGAAATCCAAACTGATGCTCGGAAATTATTTTTCTTTATTCAAAGATATCTTTTAATCTTTTTAACTATATTTCTTCAAACACTGGATAGCAATGGTAAGGGGCTTAAGATCTACATGTTGTTCAACATCAGTAAATTCTATATTTCGATTTTAAGCTACAAACAATGAATGTCCAAAATCACCCCAGACATAGGGGTGAATTCGGACACTATATTATATATGAAAAACAAAAAATATTAAGATATGGATGTATTTTTTTTATGGAATGACAAGATAAAGGATACACATATCTAATTTAATTTTTTCACATTTTTTAAATAAAAACTGCAGATGCTATTTGCAAAAATACTCCAAAATCGTCCAATTTTACCCCGGATAACGGTAATGTGAGAAGTGGCTACTTTTCTTAGAGAGACACCCACCTTTTTTTCGTTCTTATTACTACTATTCAGCACTTTTTGGAAGGATCGGGTATGGAAAACATTGAATGCACTTTGCTATGGTTTGATATATTATGGTACTCACTGCTATATTTCGGTCTCAACAAAAAATTCAAAATAGTTCAGTCCTAGGAATTCGCCCAAAAAAATTATAAATATGTTTTCGAATTTTCAATTTATACGAACTATTGCATAAAATAAATCTAGTTCTATAAATAAATGTCAAATTAAAGCTTGGACAACAAATTCACTTTTGTTTCCAAAGCCAACTTGTCATCATAAAATAAGACCTAAAACCTTTTTTCGCAAAACTTATGAAGCATACGTTATTTTTGTAATGTAAGAGTAAAAATTTACATATTAAATTGCGGATGGCAATTTTATTTAAGTTGACTAATATTATATTGACTTAATCTTATTTATTTAAAGAATAATTATTTTAATAATTACCTCAAGAAGAAAAGACTGTGGCAAACCTCCATTAAATCCTTCCGAACATCGTATGTTAAATGACGTCATTGAAATATTCAGAACGGTGCAGTTGTGAACTTGATCCGGTCGACCTGTAACAAATATAAAATATTGTCACTATTGTAATATAGCTCATAATTTTTCTGCATCACTGCATATATAAATCCTTTAAAAATTTTAATAAAATATAAAGAAAACAAATATAATTTTGGAAAAACACCATTTATTTATCTAATTTAATGATTATTATTATTATAGAAAAAATTAAAATCATCACTATTCAATAGTAAAAAACCAGGAAATTTCTTCCCATTGCACGAGTCCATTCTCGTTAGTTGTATTGTACTTAGTGTTCAATTTAGTGAAATTTATAAACCAGGTACGCCATTCGTTTTGGCTAACAACTAAATTATAAGAATTGAACATTTAAAAAAGTAGTTCAAGAAATTATTATTAACAAAACAAACTTAGTTGTAATAAATCTCATAAAACATAATTTTGATGCCGTGTTTATTTTAAATTAAAACATTTTTTTTACTTTAAATTGTGCTTTTATTCTATTATATCCGGTGTGATTAAGAAATTGCTTTGAAAAGGACGTCATGTGGTAAGTTGCTTAAAAATTTTGCATCAAATTCGTTAGAGAAGTTTTTGCATTACGTAATAGGTCTCTTTATTAATGGCAATTAAAGCCCTCAAGTGGAAGTGCTTTTAGAGCTTAATCTGCCCATAAAAAGATAAATTTACGCTCTTAATGTTGCAGTTAAAAAAGCTTTTGACGAAAATTACTGATTTAAAACCTTTGCCTTTTGCTATAAAATCCCGACAAAGGTATTAAAAATTGGAGATTAAAAGAATATACGATCTCCGAGCGAGAGGTATTATAAAAATCCCTACATAGGTACATACAAACAGGGACACATAAATATGTCGAAAATAAATTAGTGATTGGATTAAAATTACACAAAAAAAAAAATACCCGTAATGTGTCCCTAAAAGGAGTTTTTTTTTTATGAAAAATTAAATAATAGAGAAAAATAAAAGATTTTATATTTCGAGTATGTAGAGGAGAAATTGCTTCAAAATAATTCCACTTTATTAAAAATCAGTCTAGCGCTTCCGCCAATTAAGGCATCTTCAGGACTCTACAAAGATTAGTCTTTGAATGACTATGGTAATTAAATAACACTTACTAGAGAAAACAAAAAAAAACAGTAAAAAATATATAGACAAAACACCAGGAATTAACAAGTTATAATCTCTAGTCAACGGGTGTGTTGAATCACAACTACAAGACTCACTACCAGTCCAGTGAGATAGGTGAAAGACTTACAAAAAGACTTGTCCAATACCAATACCCTCTTGTAGTTAGTTAAATAATAGTATTTAGTTTTAGATAAAATGTGACAACAGGTAAAAAAGATCGTTATATAGTTAATTTAACAAGTATTAGAAATTAAAAATTTAAAAAAACCGACTTCAAAAACGTGCCAAATTTATATGGGATCACCCCTGAGGTACCCCCTTACTAGCAAAAAAGAATCATATAAATCGGACAAGGTGGTAAAAAGCATTATCGCTAAACATACATAAAAAATGAAGAGTTTGAGGATTTTCTCATGGACCCAATTATTAGATTTTGAACAAATTTACCCCTGAAGTACCTCCTTTCCAACAAAAAAAGAATTATTGAAATCGGACACCATGTTAAAGAATTGTCGCTGAACATACATAAATAAAAAAAAAATATCGCGACGAATTGAGAACCTCCTCCTTTTTTGAAGTCGGTTAAAAAATAAATATAGACACAAATTCAATGTTATAGCAAACATAGGTATACTTTTCACAATTTTTGATAATGTTATAAAAACAAATAAAAATATATTGATATGAATATAAGAATTTAGATGTATAATTTATTTTTAATACCCAGTATAGCTAGCTCAGTAATTATATAATTTTTTTATTAGATGATGAACACTACTTATATTCGTATTAGAATTTTGGGGTTGGGTTCTTTCACTTGTATTTCTCACTATCAATAATTTAGATAATCAAAAGAAAAGAAAAATAAATAAAAAAAAATAAACTCACCTACGAAATCTCTATAACTTTTCACTTCCAAATATCAATTTACCTATTCCCTCTATGTTTGATTTGATCACACTGTATTGTAATTTAGACTAAAAATTAAAAAAAAATTAATTTAGAAATTATATTATTTTTTATTATCGTCTTCTTCTTCTCAGCCTTGTCTGCACTTCCCTTTCCTTACACTGCTATTGTTCTACCGCCTGCCTTATTTCTGCTATCTTGCCTTGCTTTCTGCTTTAATCTCCTTCTGCTACCTATCTATTTTTGCTCCTACCTTTCTGCCTCCTGCCTTATTACTGCTATCTCGCCTTACTAGTTTTCGTTTATTCTTTATTTTAAATAAAATTTTCTTTACCTGCTACTTTTATATATTTTCTTTATTATAATCTTCCAATTAACAATCCGGTGCCTGTAAACGTAACGGACACACGAATTTCGAAAAAAAATTTTAACTAAAAAATAGTACTAACTGTATATATGAAATAACAAAAAAAAAATTTGCGGGTTACGCATAAATAACAAAGAAATTTGAATTTTAAACTGCAGATTTTGGTGTTTCTAACCTACCATATATAAAATATATAAAAGTAGAAGGTAAAGAAAATTTTATTTAAAATAAAGAATAAACGAAAACTAGTAAGGTGAGATAGGTAGCAGAAGGAGATTAAAGCAGAAAGCAAGGCAAGATGGCAGAAATAAAGCAGGCTGTAGAACAATAGCAGTGTAAGGAGAAGGAAGTGCAGACAAGGCTGAGAAGAAGAAGACGACAATAAAAAATAATATAATTTCTAAATTATTTTTTTTTTAATTTTTAGTCTAAATTACAATACCGTTTGATCAAATCAAACGTAGAGGGAATAGGTAAATTGATATTTGGAAGTGAAAAGTTATAGAGATTTCGTAGGTGAGTTTATTTTTTTTTATTTATTTTTCTTTTCTTTTGATTATCTAAATTATTGATAGTGAGAAATACAAGTGAGGGAATCCAACCCCAAAATTTTAATACAAATATAAGTGTTCATCATCTAATAAAAAAGTTATATAATTACTGAGCTAGCTATACTGGGTATTAAAAATAAATTATACATCTAAATTCTTATATTCATATCAATATATTTTTATTTGTTTTTATAACATTATCAAAAATTGTGAAAAGTATACCTATGTTTGCTATAACATTGAATTTGTGTCTATATTTATTTTTTAACCGACTTCAAAAAAGAAGGAGGTTCTCAATTCGTCGCGATATTTTTTTTTTTTTATTTATGTATGTTCAACGACAATTCTTTAACACGGTGTCTGATTTCAATAATTCTTTTTTTGTTAGAAAGGAGGTACTTCAGGGGTGGTCCCATATAAATTTGTTCAAAATCTAATAATTGGGTCCATGAGAAAATACTCAAACTCTTCATTTTTTTATGTATGTTTAGCGATAATGCTTTTTTACCACTTTGTCCGATTTATATGATTCTTTTTTGCTAGTAAGGGGGTACCTCAAGGGCGATGGCGATGGCATCTGCATGTTTTTGAAGTCGGTTTTTTAAATTTTTAATTTCTATTGCTTGTTATGTAATATGTTTTAATTTGTTTGATATATTTGTTTACCATACCATTTTCCTTCAAGCATCTCAACTCAAAACAGATCTCAAGATCAACAATATAGACATATAATATCAACTCGAGTAAGTAAAAAATAATTGATTTTTAATCTCCTTTCTTTTATTATTCATTAAACATCTCCTTTTTATAAGTTCTTATAAGCTCAACCACAAATTTAAAAAAAAAATTGAATACCTTTTGGTTTAGATGAATTTACCAGGTAAATAACGTAAAGAAATAATTATTTATAGAAATAACAATATGTTACTTAATAAATAGAATGGTCGTGCAAGGATAAATGACCTCAAGTAATATCCTTCAATAAATCTTCCTCCTTTTTTCCACATTTACAAGATATATGACTGAAATCGCCCAGTAAAGTATGTAGCATTAATTTCAAACCCCCATCAACATGTTTATGGAATCTTCTCTCCTATATCCTCTGTAGTCCTGATCTATGCAATATCCTGGACATCTCAAAAATTAACCGAGCGTGAACTAGAATAAACGGGTCCTGAGGGCTTACATTTAGAATCTCGAACTTCACAACCTAAATTTTATTACCGAACTTGTCGACAGTTGTTTTTTTCGACGGTGCTTGCCAGTCTTGCAACTTTGAAGTATTCGAATAAAGAAAACTTTTCTTATACTCGTTCGACGTAAAACCTTTTGAAGGTGCATCTAAACCTTTCGATTCGTACCTGCTAGATAAAATTGTCGGAATTTTATAGCACGGCATAATCAATTCTTTCGCAACTTTGAATTATTCCCGACCTGCTCTTCTTTAAATAGAATCGGAAAAAGTTTTTTCTGAAAGTGGATCAAACTAATGGATGTACACTCTGAGAAAAAGTATATGGTAGGACGTTAGATCTCTTGTGAATATATTTTGAGCAAACGATTTTATTTTCGAGTGTTATTAAAATAGTTGTGTAAACAGTGAGTTAGCAAATTTTTTTTAGCTATAAGATAAGAGCCTGGGAAAGATTTTTCGCATCTGTATGTATTTTAAGGTTAAATAAATAAACAGAATACTGTTTATTGCAAAGGTGGGGGAATGTTGAAAATGGAAAATCATCCTATATATTAAAAAATAAAAAAAGTTATCATAGTTTTTTTGGAAAAGGATATATGTTAATTTTTGAAAGATTGAAAAGAGTTGTCAGAAAAATAGAATGATAAAAACTAAAAATATTAATTCTTAGTAAATTCTTCTCCATTTACAACAAGGGTCTTGACACAAGAGTCTCGCCTTTCAGCAAGAGCTTCGAACCACAGTCCCTACTCCACAGTCTTTTACTCTCTATATAAACCCAAAATTTACGAGACGGTTTTACTTTTTAGAATGTCAACGTACTAACTTGGATAATTCTCGAGTCCAATGTAATCCATTGACTAA